CACTGCGTGCTCTGTGCGTGAGAGGGGGACGTGCTTCAATTAGTGCACCGCCAGACCACCATCAATGCCTCTCTTATAGTCCTATTCCTCCCGCCAAAATGATTTGAGTCTTAGTCCAACCCTATTATTCAAACCCTACATGGGCCTCAAATCCAATCGATTTTAGTAAGTGATGGATGTTGAAGTTGGTTAATGGACTGAGAACATTGAGAAAATAATTGCAAAGTATATTGAAGGAAAAATTGAATAATATGAAATTTTTAAATGTTGCAATCTAACAACATTTGTATTGTCGGCAATATATAAAATTTCATAATCTTGCCAAAAAATTTGAAAAACAACCAAAGTATGTGTCGTGCCACTATGCTCCACGCATCGACAAGCTCAGTTTGCTCCCTCAACTCTTGTTTGAGATCCTAGTGGTGCCCGTCAAAAAACCCCCCAATAGCTTGTTATCGTCGCCTTTGATGTTTCATTGATTGTCGAGCCTATGTTGGCGAACTACAATGCTAGTGTACCAATTAATGTTTATGGTTTTTGATACGGATGGCTTTAGGGTCTGAGGTCGAATACTCTAGAAGATTCTGAACCACGATATGATGATTTTCAAAGACTTTAGAGCTAGGGCCGCAAACAGAGGCATCGCAAGCTAAAATATATTGGTATTTAGCTAAAATAAAAGTAAAAATCTCGCCTAAAATTATAATTTTACATTTATTAGCAAGTTTAAAAAAAAAAAAATTAAAATGAGCGGTAATTTTTGAAATTGAAATTAAAAAAAAAAAAAATTGAAATCTGCACAAAATGTGTATGAATTTGTCCTAAATTTTGGTATGGTCCCTGCTATAACAAAGGAAAAGTATTAAATAAATATGTTTAACTACCATAAAAGATGGTAACGAATCTTTTTTTATAAATTTTCGCAACTGAGACTTAGACAAAAAAAAATGGTCACAAATTTATTTTTATTGCTATTAACAATTAATTTTAACGTAGAATTAATGTTTTGCAAGTCTACATATTAGAATTGCATTTATACATTGGTCAGACTTTGGATTCAATTATTTGACAACAGTAAGCCAATCTTTAGGCAAAACCAATTATTTGACAATCATTTTTTTTTTTCTGCCTATTCTTTTCAATTTTAAATATGATTTCTAATATATATATATATATATATATATATATATATATATATATAAGTTTGCATATCTATCTAAAATAAAAACTAAAATTCCACCTAAAATTATTAAAATTACTAAACTTATTATTTATTTTAAAAAAAATCAAAAAAATCCCGTCAATGGAGCTTTAATTTTGAATTTAAAAAATATCTTGATTTATTTTAGGATAACTTTCATTTATTATGGAAACATTTATCTATTAATTTCAATATAAATTAAGATCATCTCTTAGTATATATTTTAGCCGCAACATTTCATATCATTTGCAATTATTATCACTTAGCCGCAACGATATTCTCATTAATATCACTTTGTGCATTTAGAATTAATAAGTATTTGATCATGTGCATATGCACAAATGTTTAAATAATTATAAGTTATATCTATATATATAATATTAAAATTATAAGTTAGATAATAATATCACATTTAAATTTTTTGTCATTAATAAAAATAAACATTATAAAAGTATTCAACTTCATAACTATACTAATTACATAAGATGAAATGGATAAGGTAATTTTGCTAAACGTGAAAGATCATGACCCGTTAATTATCTTAAAAAGTATTGTTATTATTATTATTATTAAAAGTTTAATAGGTTTGGTTCACTACTAAAGACAATTAGCATAATAAAGAATAAAATTTTAGAGCAATAAATAGTTTAACAAAATTCACTATATTTTTTTTATACTTATTCAACTTTCGTAAATCGTTTTGTATGAATTACAATTGATTAGTTTTAGTAATAACTATTACATAAAAGAATAAACAAAAGACATACTACACTTTTATTAGCCATATATTAAAAAGAAAAATAGATTAAATTTCAGTTACTGGTTTAAAAAAAATATTGGATTTGAAGGAAAAAGGGTGGAAAATCTAAATAATTATATTAAATTTTTTTGTTAGCAATTATATATATATATATATATATATATATATATATATATAGAGGGATGCGCTCCGGTGAGAAAGCATCTCAATGAAAGAAATAAGAATACATCGTAGCCGTTAGATTAGATGATCCAACAATTAAAAAAAAAAAATAAAATTTATACCTAAATTGAGGACAACTCTGTAATTTTACACACATAAATAATTTATGTCACTCTACTCACGAATCAACTCACACGAGCCCCACGGGCGCCCTGTGATATGTGCGGCCGGACCGGGCCGCACGGTCGCCTTGACGTGCGACTTTTGGGGCCGGTCGTACGGTGACAAAACCGGCCCCTCCGGCCGGACGTTTTTTTTTTAATTATATTATAATTAATTAATAAAAATAATTATTGTAAATATTAATAAATATTATAATATAAAAATAATTAAAAAACGTAAAAAAAATTATAATAAAATATTTATGAAATAAAATAAAAAAATATTACATTAATAAAGAAAAAATATTATAATATATTTATTTGAATATTTAAAAACTAAAAATATTAGCATAATATAAATATAATAATAATTATAATATAAAAGAAAAATATATCACATTAATAAAGTAAAAATTATTGTAATATATTTATTTGAATATTATAAAATTAAAATATTAGCATTTAATTAATAATAATTATAATATAAAATAAACTAGTTACTTTATAAAATTAATATATTAGTATTAAAAACATATATGTAAAAATTTAAAAAATATTACATATGTATAAAAACATATA